CATCAGCTCCATCAGCTCCATCAACTCCATCAGCTCCACCAGCTCCACCAGCTCCATCAACTTCATCAGCTCCATCAGCTCCATCAGCTCCATCAACTTCATCAGCTCCATCAGCTCCATCAACTCCACCTAAAGTGACACCTGAGTGTGTGTTAAAGATCAATGAAGTTGAATATTGATGATTAATCATCATGTGAAGCTTTTGTGAGGAGGAAGGAGGTAAGGAGGGAGTAAGGAAGGAGGTAAGGAGGGAGTAAGGAAGGAGGTAAGGAGGGAGTAAGGAAGGAGGTAAGGAGGGAGTAAGGAAGGGGGTGAGGAGCTAAGGGGGAGGGAGGAGGAGGTAAGGAGGGAGGGTGTTTGTCTAGCGCTCTGACGTCAGCAGTCCTCGGCTGTCAATCATGGATCAGTGCTGGTTGTGTCCTCCTCGCGCTGCTCATCAGACACACGCGCACAGGACGCAGCGCGAGCACAGCGCGAGCACAGCGCTTTGTCCTGACAGCCTTTTATCAGGAGGGCTTTGATCCGCAGGTTTCCAGTCAGTGTGTATTGGAGGGTTCTCTCTGGATGTAGCTGCAGATCTGAAGAAACATCTCATCCTCACTTTTCTCTTCGCGTCTGGAGAAAATGTCTCGACCACTTCCGCTCAGTTTTCTGGCTCCGCACGGAGTCCTGAAGTCTCTGCTGGAGAAACCTGTGAGGCTGCAGCTGCACCATGAAGGTGTGTGTGTGTGTGTGTGTACTCAGACTAACAGATACAACTATAAAGCTCATTAAACGTGTTTTGAACATCTGCACAACTCTTCTCAAAATGTCATATTTGATTTCTGATCCTCTTTTGAATTCAGCTGCATCAGAATTTCTCTCAGCGTCTCGTTGTGACTGTCAGGATCTGAAGTTCTTTCATATTGAATCACAGGATAAAGACTAGAAACATATTCACAGTTAAAACTGTTTGTGCTTCACTTGGAATGATCATTTAACTTTCTGTTAATTGTCAATTAATGAAGAGTCTTTTAAATCCAGAGGTGAAGACTTCCTGTCCTCATCCTTATTTAGAATCAGAGGATGACATGAACAAAGCTCGGTTCAACAGATTAATGAATTCAATTATTTTTATCGTTAATATTATTTATACGATCAGTCATATTCTTGGTTTGATTTTATAAATGAAAACGATCTCATCGTGAATCCTGATTAACTGTCATTATCTTTTACGTTTTATACATGTGAGCAGAAATCTGTCTCATGAACAGTAAAGACGATATTAGTTCTGATAAATGTCTTGATTCCTGTGGGACAGACGCAACTCCATGTTTCTGTTGGTTTTAGTTGTCGTCCTGTGGCTGGTGGACACAGAGTGAAACGAGAAGTTTTGTCATCATGTCAGATTGAAGTCAGTAACTCATCATTCACATTGTTTACCTCGCTGTCTCCTCCTCTCTTTACCCAGAATGCCTCCTGTTTGTTGGTTTCTCAGAACACGACGTTTCAGGTGTCCTCTGGAGGGACATTTTAATCTTTTGTCCTGTGACCTACATTTATTTATTTTTATTATTATTTTTTTATTTAGCACTTGATGTATAGATAGATATAAATACAAAGAAAAGACCAAAAAGATCCATGCAGGGAGAGGCAGAAAGCCCAAACAGGCTTATATAAAGCCTCCACCTAAAAAAATTTAAATAAACCACAGGATTAAATTTAAACAAACAAACAAACAAAAAACATCAAATAACCATTGAAGTATAGTGCACATTTAAATAATGAAAGAAATATTAAATAGTAAAAATTCAAAGAATGAACATGTGAGCAAACTGAGACAAAAGTACTTTAGACAACCAGCGATTCAATGAGCCTTTAAACATCTTTTGAAATGTTTAATAGTATAACGTTTTAATGCCAGATGTGAAAAGTGATTCCATAGTTTAGCAGAGTTGAGCTTGACTTGTTCGAAATCGAGGAGGGTGAAGATCTGCAGCTTGCCTAGTTGCATAAGAATGAACCTGTGAATTTGCTTTAAAATAGCATTTAAACTGCTCAGGAATATGTGCTTTAGTTTTATATATCTTATAAATAAAAACACAGATTTGAAGTATATTGATGTCATAAATAGTAAGGATTCCAAGTCTTTTGAAGAAAGAATGGATGTAGGAAACGATTCGAAATGGGTTATAATTCTCATAAAGCGTTTCTGAAGGAGCAGAATGCTGTGAAGGGTAGTAGGAAACTAAATTAAATTACAGTAGGAGACATACGGATAAATCAAACTATAGTTTGCATAGCTTGTGATGCACCTGGACACCTCATCAGTAATGTTACCTGGCTCATTGGGGGTTTCCGGTCTTTCAACAATCAGACACCCTCACACAGAATTTCCTGCTCGGAGGCTTCAGAGATCACAACCATGTCCGGCCTTAATGCACGTGTGAATTTACTTTACGTAACTTAATTATTTATTTAAAGATCTGAAGTGTGCAAATCTACATTTCCTGCAGAGAAACTCTTCCTCGCTGGTCGAAAGGTCTTCACTCGATTGTTGATGTGTCCTCACTCTGTACATTGACTTTGATGCTGATCTGATATGTTGTGATTTATTACAATTATTTTTTTTACCATTTCCCAGTGAAGGGTGAAACCTGACATGTTTCCAAACTCTGGTTTAAAATGTGCCTCACATGCACTTTGTGGTTCCTGAAACATGATGACGTAAAACATCATCAGAATCAGAATTCAGAAGAATTCTGATATTCATTCATAGAACATACACTTCGCCACCTGCTGGATCAAATCAGTAACTTAGAGAAAAAACTCATAAACATTTAATGAAACCAATGACGTTTGCTTTCGTTCAGCCTTTAAAATATGATGTATATAAATATTATTTTACCTTCCTGCCATGAAACTCGATGATGGATCACATGATACCAAATAACTATCAGAACCTCCAGAGTTCAGTCAGGACTGTGCTGCGCTGATAAACTCGGAAAATCCTCCTCATAGTCATAGTTGTGTTTTGTCTTTTCTCTGTCAGCTTTCACCAAGGAGCAGGGGAAGGAGAAGAACCTGGAGGAGGAGCACAGCTCCCCCCAGTCAGCCTTCCTGGGCCCAACACTGTGGGACAAGACCCTCCCCTACGATGGAGACACCTTCCAGCTGGAGTACATGGACCTGGAGGAGTTCCTGTCAGAGAACGGGATCCCCTCCAGCCCCTCCCACCACCATCATGACCAGCACCAACCACAGGCTACGTCATGCCAACCACTAATCATGCCGACAGCCCCTCCCACTCCGACGCCCTCAGTGATGGACCTGAGCAGCCACGCCTCCACCTCCATAAACACAAGCGTCACCCCTCCCATCTGTCTCCACAGCAGCCAGACGAGAGAAGGTAACACACTGACGACATCTCCGCAGCTAGTGTTGCCGTTTTTAAATGACGTCACAACATCACAGCCTCATGCAAAGAGAATAACTGCACGTTTAAATATTTCACTTTTCAGGACAGGAAACGATTTGATAAAACATGCTGCTGTGTTTCATCAGTATTGTTTGGGTGTAACTCTTCATTAACAGAACTGAAAAGAAAAAGGAAAGGAACAAAAGAACAGTGCCCAGGATGGATCCTTGAGGAACCCCACCAGAGGTTCCCCAGTATGAATGAGAAGCAATTACCCAGAAACACAAGGAAAACAGAAAGTGATTTATTGGAGGTGAAACTTGTGAGTTTGTTGGTTCAGGAGCTCAAGAAGCTTCGGGATCATCCACTGGTTTGTCTTTGTCATCGTCTGAAAATAAAACGACAGCGTCCGTCTCTTTGTGACGAGTTAAAGCTGCAGGACGACGTCAGAGGGAATCAGGACCTCAGGCTGTGTGTGTGTGTGTG